AGCAGGTCATGGCTCAAATGCCACAGACTTTCATTGCCTTTACCAAGATTTAATAGACATGTTCTTGTATAAATGTTTCTTTTTCTCTTTAAAAAAGATTTTAATTAATTTATTTTTACAGCGGAGGAAAGGAGGGAGAGAGGGAAGGAAACAGTGATGTGAGAGACAAATCAATCGGTTGCCTCTTCCACAGCCCCAGCTGGGGACCTCGTGGGCAACCCAGGCATGGGAATCAAACCAGCAACCTTTCAGTTCACAGGCTGGTGCTCAATCCACTGAGCCACACCAGCCAGGGCTAAATGTTTCTTATTTGCTGTGAGCACTTAGGAAAAATTTCAAGGTATTTTTCAAAAATGATTTTCATCTGTTATATTGTTTTGCTAGGGAGTTGGTTTGCAGCACTCCCTGTTCTCCCATTCACAAAGTAGATCCTTCCTATTTATTTCTGATCATCAAGTAAATGTGCACAAAGCCACATTCCCCCAGAGGCATCTTCTCAAGCAACATCATGCTGCAGCATTATTTCTTTTGATAGGATGGCATGTTTCTGGCCCTGAAAATTAAATCACTACCATTTTGAAAGTCTCTCTTACTCCCTCCCATTAATCATAATATACCTAAATGTATTCTCTGCTCCCCAAGGATTTCATTTTATTGTTTCATGTTTTGCTGAGATAATATTCAGATTCATAACTTTTCATGCCCATCAAATGTTCCACAGTTGAACCTACTGGATCTACCTCAGTACAACAACCTGCTATCACGTACACATGAATTCAACATGTGATTGATTCCTTCACGTGTTTTGTAGCTTGATAGCTCATTTCTCCTTTCTTTAAAATTTCTCCTTATCTCTGAATAATATTCCACTTAATGTATCACAATTTGTCTAGTCACATATTGATGGACATCTCAGTTGCTTCCAGAGTTTTGACAATTATGACTAACGCTGCTAAAAAAAAATAGCGTGAAGGTTTTGTGTTGATACAAGTTTTTTGTTTGTTTTTGATATGTGTTTTTAGAAGGTTGAGCTTACCTTTCAGTAATTCAGGGTTTTTTTTATCACTCCTCTACTCAAAAAAATATTTTTTAATGGTTTCATCAAAAGAAATGGATGATTATGTCAATTCCAAGTCCATTGATTTTGTTGGGTGTATCAACCTGGATAGTCTAAGTTATGTTTGCAGTATCACACAGCCTGAACTCTGAGTGACTGAAAACCACAGAGGTTTGTTTCATATTCTTGCTACATGTCCAACTTGAGTTGGCAGGGTGCTCTGTTCTGGTCATCCTCACTCGGGGCCCCAAGGTGGTGGAGACTCCACTATGAGCAAATGACACTGGATGTCACAGCAAAGGGAAAAGAGCAGTGAATTGGGCATTGATTTACTTTGAAAACACCTAACACCTCCTCACATTACACAAAACAAAACTTTGATCTACCTAACTTAGAGGAGGAAGACATGTAGTTATATACCTACATGAAGAAGAATCACAAATATTGATGAGTGTTTAGTAATATCTACTTCTATTCATTAATTTGCCTGAGGATAGAACAAGGATATTTGGATCACTAAACTTAATTTATATTTTATTTTTTTCATTTTAAATTGTATTGAATTTATCGAGGTGATATTACTTACCAAAATTATATAGGTTTCAGGTATACAATTCTATAATACATCATCTGTATATCATATTATGTTCACCACACCAAGTCAAGCCTCTTTCCTTTATTCGAATGTTTGCCTTCCCTCTTCAGACTATAGATGGTAGACTAGAAGTTAAAGTTGACTAGTGGTAAGGGCTCAGACAGTACTTACTAAAACAAAGAAAGAGGCTTAGGTTGTAACACGGGCTCTATAGGCTAATTGTAAAGAAGATAGCAGAAGTCTGAGCATGAGACCTACTACTGATAACTGGTAGAGATGGTGGTACTGACACTGTAGAACTCAAAACGAATGGGAGGAGTGCTTTCATCTAGGCTCAGGATAACAATGTTCTCTCATGGTGTCACATAACTGTATGTTCCTATATATTTATTAAGTGTATTTAAATGTGTTTATATTATTAATTTTTTTTCCAAAATAGAATATTCCATTTGAACTTAAACACATCTTGAAACAAATTTTAACTCAGAGGACAATTTTGGTTTAGGTCAAACTTGTTCAATTAATTGCCCTTGATTTCTTTTTTTTTAAAAATATTTTATTATTTATTTATCTTTAGAGGGGAAGGGGGGGAAGGAGAGAGGGAGAGAAACATCAATGTATGGTTGCCTTTTGTGCATCCTCTGCTGGGAACTGGCCTGCAGGGAACCGGCCTGCAACTGAGGCATGTGCCCTGACTGGGAATCAACCGCGATCGTGTTGTTCGCAGGCCCGCGCTCAATCCACTGAGCTACACCAGCCAGGGCTTCCCTTGAATTCTTAAGCTAAATAGATGCTTTTCTTTTTCTAACTTGCTGAAGAATATTTTTATTGTTGACTGCTTTTCTTTTTTTTATAAAATTTTTTACTTTATTATATTTTCCCATTACCATTTAATCCCCTTATACCCCCACCCTGCTCCAATCATCACACTTATTCATGACGACTTTTTTTTTCAAGGTTTCTTGGTGATTTGTGACTTACCAGCATTCACCTTATGAAAATTTATTTAAGATCAGCTCCTAGAACTAGGAACTTGCTTCTTTACTAGTCCACTTCCAGAAACTTCCCTTTCTTACAGAAACTTCGGAGCTTGGGAAGATCATCCCTGCTACCGTTCTCCTCATCTATTCTCAGCATCGCCGTGGGTCAAGATGGAGACTGCCCCTGCCCCTACCTGTGCTATTTGAGCCTTAGTGAACAGGTACCCAAATCATCTCTATAACTCCTCTCCACTGGAACAGAATTCTCCCAAGTCCCCATCCCGAACTTCTGCATTCACCATTTTTCCCCCTGAACCTTATCAGAAACTTCTCCAAGGTGTTTTTTTTTTTTCCTTCTTCCCAACACCTATCTCTGGAGCAAAACTGAAGGCATAGAGTGGGAGCAGAAAGCATGTTTCTATCACTGTGACAATAAGAAGAAAGAAGATGGCAGAGAGATTCTCCCCTTGGGGTAATAAGTATATCGGCTGCAATTTCCAACTCATTTTTGAGGAGACACCACAGGAACTAAGGTACAATGGAAAACAAACCTTTGGAATCAAAAGTCTGGACTTTGAATCTAGACCAACCACAAATTAGCCATGAACCCATCTTATTCTCAGATTCTTGGCCTGAACATGAGTTTAGCACCTCTTGCCCACTGGATTATTTCTAGGATCATATGGTATATTACATATGAAAATGTTTAAAGTGCTGTTCATAAATTTCCTTCCCCAAAAAGATATTTATATTTTTAATCATAACAATTATATATAATTATAAAATTTATGGGAGACTCATAAAAGTACACAAAGAAGAAATTAAAAATTACAAGTCTACCGTAAGTTATTAGTTATCTCTATTAAGATAAAATGTTTTACTTAATTCTCTTTTAATCTGCTAGTAATTAAATATGTGTATTTGTAACATTGTTAGGATTAGGCTCTGTATAAATCTTGTGTCCTTGTGTAGCAGACTGTATTTTCCAAAATGGGCCACAAAACATTTTTTGGTGCCAGAACTTTACTTCCCCATTAAGAGGTGGGGTCTGGTTTTCCCTCCATATGTAACTGCCTGGGGCTTGCAGCTGCCTTGATGAAGAGAATGTGTGGAAAGTGATGTTGCATTGCCAGGGTCATGGAAGGTGATACAGCTCTTGTCTGGCTCTTATTTTTAAGATACTGACTCTTGAAGCCCATCCTTGAAGCCCAGGTTGTGAGGAAGCCTAGGTCCCATGGAGAACCTACATATAAGTTCTCCTGGCCAACAACATCAATCCCTGGACATATGAGCTAGGGACCCTTCAGATGACGCCAGCCTTTGGAGCAGCTGGAGCAAAGCTGTCCCCAGTGAGCCCGACCCAAATAACAGATTCACAAACAGAACAAATGTTGTCAGCATTTATTTCACTTAAGTTGCAGATACACATTTTCTAATGTCTTTAACAGTTTTTACATCAATTCAAGATGGCCAAATATTATTTCATTATGTGGATATTCTATAATTTATATTAAACTTCCCTCATTGTTTATTACTTAAAATTCTCTCTCCCATCATTTTTTTAAAAAATTGATTGAGTTGAAAGAGAGAACACCAATTTGTTGTTCCACTCATTTATGCGATCATTGATTGATTCTTATATGTTCCCTAACCAGGTATTGAACCCAGAACCTTGGCGTATTGGGACGATGCTCTAATTAACTGAGCTAACTAAGCTACATGGCCAAGGTTCTCCCATCCTCGTTTTATACTATGATACATAATGTTGCCAAAAACACCATCGTATATACATTTTGAGTTTTGCTTTTCTGACTGTTTCCATACAGTAGATTTTTAGAAGATAAAAGTAAACAATTCTATACTTCAGTTATATTGAATTAGCTTTTTGTGGCTCATGAGATTAAAAACTATCTTGAGTATTATTTTTATAGAAAACTGTTCTAAGATCCAAACATTACACAGCTGCCTTGCAAAATCTGGTAACACAATCATCTTCCAAAATCAAAGACCTCTTTTTGCACTGATTTCTGAAGCACAGTCAGCATGACATTTTTATTGAGAATGGTTATTTCTGCGATGGCTTATACCTGTTATCTCTGATTTCCCTTGGATGACTTGTATCCCAGAAGAAATTTGTTTTTATAAGATGATGTTTTTACCACCTCTGGTAGGCTAAATGTAGCCTCCAAAAGGATCACCATATCTGAATCCCTGGACCACATGTTATGTGATAAAATAGAATTTGCAGATGTGACTAAGATTTTGAGGTAGCAAGTTCATCAAAGATTATCCAGAAGGCTGTGACATACAATCACAAGTGAGAGGCAGATGAGACTGAATGAGGACAGAAGAAGGCAACATGACTGTGGAGGCAGAGATTGGAGCGATGCACCGCAAGTCAAGGCATCCCAGTAGCCAGGAGGAGCTGGAGGAAGCAAGAAACAAATTGTCCTCAAGAGCCTTTGAGGGGACTGTGGCCCAGCTATACCTAAATTTTGGCTCAGTGAAACTGATTCTGGACTTCTGGCCTCCAGAGCACCTACAGAATAAATTACTGTTGTTTTAAGCCACCCAGTTTGTGGTGATTTGTTACAGCAGCCCTAGGACATTTATACATCACTCGTTGCTCCCTATGAAATATATGAAATTACAAAGGAGTCCATTTAAAAAATTATTTATTCTTAGAGAGAGGAAAAGTGAGGGAGAAAGAAAGGGAGGCAAACATTGACCGGTTGCCTCCTGCATGCACCCGAACTGGGGACCGGGCCTGCAACCCAGGCATGTACGCTGACCGGGGAATCAAATTGGTGACCTTTCACTTTGTGGGATGACACCCAACCAACTGAGGCATACCAATCACAGTCCATTGCAGCGCTCTAAATTCTGTTCCTTAAATATCTTCCCAGAGGTGGTGCAGCCCCCAGTAAACATGCACAAAACACGTTAGAAATCTTTGTGTTTTATGGGTGTGAAAATTTGAGTATCATATGTTTGTTGTCCTGGGGAGAGAATAATAAAACAAAAATAACATTCTCATACTTGAAGTATTTATATTCTATCCAGGACATACAACAAACCACACACACACAGCACTCACACAGCACCCAGGGTTTCCTCAGACTGCACTGTGAGGTACACACTTTGAAATATGTCAGAATTCAGAGCACATAAACATGGAACTCTAGCTTGACTCTCCCCCCCACTCACACCCTACCCCCACCACCCTTTAGAGATAATCGTACTTGTAGAAAGGAAAATAATAAAGAGTCACAGATAATAGGGCCTCAAAGAGCTCAAAGAAATAGGTTAATCTCTCTGTGGATCCTGGCTTGTCATAAAATATCAGTGTGCACTAGCTTCTCTTTCCTTTCCTTGGTTAAAAATGTCCCTTTATTGTCAAGGTCTAAAAAAAGTCAAGACATAACAAATGAATCCGCAGTGATGTTTGAAAAATATGCCCTGACACATTTGGAACATTCCCACTGTTCAAAATCTGCCAGCTAAGAGAAGCTGATTAGAGCCCCTGATGGCCCGCGGGGAGCCCCGTCCAGGTGCCTGTTACCTGCTGCTGTCAGCTCTGCCTTGGGCCAGCATGAGCAGAGTGTCCAGTTGCTTCTCATCTTTATGTAAACACCAGGCCGGGAGGCAGCCGCTGCTGCTGATAGAAACACGAAGCAAGGTCGTGCTGCTGGAGACGAGGCCGGGGCCCCTCCCCTTCTCCTGCTTGGCGTGAGACTTTAGTTGGGCCTCTTCAGTGATGAAAGCATCATCCTTTTCTTAAAGAAATACCTTGACTTTGGTAGTGTTTTTGTTCCTTCACCTGGAATCAGAAAAGATCCACTCTACACACTGCCCTGAAGCTCAGAACTGAGAGAGACTTAAAGTGATCATCACTGTTGATACCTGCATTTTAAATTGAAAGGACAATTCTAAGCTTGGCCAGAGCCCTACATTCCATCGCAGGTGGTGGATTTGAAGTGTATTTTCCATCCACATTTCATTTCTGAGGGTGAAAAAAAAACCCTGCCAAATTTCATTTAGCAGGTATCATTTCTTATACTATAATCTGTTATGAATCAAATAATTAATGTGATTATAAATAATACAGCATAGGAAAAGTTTTTTAGGAATGAAATAAGTCACAGTGAAACAAGTGTTGCTGTCAGCCATGGACAAAGTGGTCGTGATCCATGGGGCAGAGAAATCCTCATGAGGGAAAATGAGATTCATAAATATATTCATTTATTTAACAAAAGACTTACTAGTGCCCACTCTATGAAAGCGTTGTGTAATGTCTTAGGAATACAATGTGGGAATAAGACAGATCTGTGACTGTTCTTGAAGAATTTAAAGCCTAATTAATTGAAAGACTAATAGGAGAGACAGACAAATAGCAATTACCAGTTGGTGCCCCGATAAGGTGCAGTAGGAAAGCCTCTGACCCAAACCTGACCTGTAGTCAGGCTTTGCAAAGGAAGTAATAATTTCTTAGAACTCAGGGGATGGGTACAGTGTAAGCAGTGGTTTGGTGGTAGGAGATAACCTGAAACATTCAAATACTGGAATAAGATCATGCTGGTTGAGAGACGAGGCTCTGAAGGTAAAAAAAAAACAAAAACCTCTTTATATGTATTTTGTGAGTAAAAGTGATGAAAGTTATGAAATGACATTAAGCTTGGGGTAGTGCTGCAATCCAGTTTACCCTCTAGAAAGAGCTCTCTGTCTACAATGTTGCTGTACATTCTCGTACAGTACTGGAGATTCTGTGGCGAGAGGTGACGGTGGCCTGGGTGATGGTGGTGATAGTGAGGAAGCAGACAGACGGATGACATGAGGAATATTTAGGAGAGATATTTGTCAGCCTTGATAAGTGAGTGGGCATGGGGTAAAAGGAGAGGGGTGAGTCAAGAAAGACTCCTCATTTTCAGACTTCACTATGGAGCAGGTGCAGTTACTGAGCTCGGTTTCATACGAATGAACTGAAGGTGTCTAAGTTATGTTGAGGACGAGATGTTCAGCAGACAGGTGGATAAACAAGTTATTTTATCCAAATCTCTCTCAGGAGAGAGATTTAGGCCAAAGGAATAGATTTGGGAGTTGTCGGCATGCGGTCAATAATGGCAGCCATTTGGAGCCAAAGCCATTGCTCAAGGAACCTTGTAGGTGAAGGAGAGATGACAACCTGGAACAGACCCCTGAGCAAAATGGTGTTTTAGGGGCTGAGAAGAGAATTCTGCACAAGTGTGTATCATGGATGCCAAAAGCAAAGAGTGTTTTGGGGAGGGTGGCTGGCGTGGGCACAAGTGCCGAATGCAGCCTCCCGCAGGACCGATGCGTTTACTACCCAGGGCAGGGCCCCTCCTCCATACGGTGGAAAAATTTTCAGTCATCATCATGTAAAAATCAATAATCATCTTCATTTCATGATTTGTTCTTTAATTTTATTTCTTTATTTTAAGATTTTATTTATTTTTAGAGAGAGGGGAAGGAAGAGAGAAAGAGAGGGAGAGAAACATCAGTGTGGGATTGTGTCTCATGTGCCCCTTACTGGGGACCTGGCCCGCAACCCAGGCATGGGCCCTAGACTGGGAATTGAACCGGCAACCCTTTGGTTTGCAGGCCCATGCTCAAAATACTGTGCTATATCAGCGAGGGCTGTCCTTTAATTTTAAAATGAGCGCATTTTTTAACGTGAACAATTTTCAATTTTAAGGGTATTATGTCAACTCAGTAAACTACTTCAGGTATAGATTAGAATTTGTATTTACTGAGAAAATAAAATCTCGTGGGTCTGTCTGTGTTTCGCTGTTTCCAATTTTAAGTACAAATAAAAACTCCTAATGCGGCAATGTGAAATAACAGAATTAAAAGAACTCCATTTCTGTTTCTTCATCTTTGCAGTTGTGTTGTCATGTTTACTTTGTGCTGAGTAAAGAAAGACGTGAATGGGTCGGAGACACAAACCATGCTCTACGCAAGCCGGAGTGAATTGGAATGATCGTGGATTTACTCTCCAAACGAACACGTGTCTCTGAGCCCACGTGTGTCTGAGGTGAACTTCCTAACTGCGGACTCCCAAAATTAACTTTAGGATACAATAAAATATTTGTTAAAGAATATATAATAAAAATGCATTTATTTGAATTTTGCATACATATATGTATCTATGTAACAAACTGTAATATACATATATAGCAACAATATGTTATTAAAATACAACAAGAACTATGGCAACTGTGTGGCACTTAGATAAAGAAAAGCATTTGGGGAGGAATATTTTATACTTACGTTGTCTGGAATAATAAAAAATGATCAAGTTTTGTAAGTTTTTATTACTATTTTAAAAATCTTTACAGAAAATGCACCCCCTTAATGACAATACCCAAGATGTACTCTACTCTCACTGGCCAGCTTTGGGTACACTACTGCCCTAGATGATAAGTTAAATGAGGCCTGGAAATTTCTCATGTGTTTGGTCATAAGAAGGTCATTGGTGACTTTGACAAACTGAGTTTCAGAGGAGTGGTGAGGTGAAGCCATATCACTTTAGGCTGAGAAACCACAACTAGAAAATCAGCAGGGCAGCCACGTACCTCACTGGCCTAGCCCCTCCAACTCCCGGGTCACTGTTCATCGCTTCCCCTTCACCCCGCCTGCACATTCTGTTTCCCAGGCATATCGACCTTCTCTACTCTTCCCTGAGCACACCGAGACCTTGCCCGCTTTTGGCAATCTGGTGATGAGCCACAGTCCCAGGAGAATTTGGTCACTGGCAGATAATTAGCTCAATCTGAAAATGATTATGATTTTATATATAACACCACTCAGTGCATGGTTCTAACTCAGACTTTTCAGCTCTGGGTGCCGCGCCTCTATCAGGATTTCCCTGGCTCTGGTGCTGTGGGTCTCTGGCACTGTAACATGAGGGGTGTTTTAATTTTGTAGGTGAAAGGGAGCAACTCCAGGTTTCTGCACATCACTTTTGTCAGCTCAATCTAGAAAATCAGTTGAGTGAAGCAGGAGTTATTGTTGCTTTAATCTGCCCTGCTTGTCCAAGAAAGGTTCTGTTGGATTTTCAAAATGAATGATTCAGATGCTCCTAAGTGTTTACATCTGTTGGAAGAGATTGATATTTTAGGATGCAATTTGATATATTCCTTTTCTCAGTACCTCAGCCCCTCTTTTCTTGTGCTTTGTTACATGTTCAGTGACATGAAACCACGTGGCACTAGTCACGCCAAATATCTACAAGCACGTCGTTATGGACTCCAAAGTCAGTCGCTTGCCTGTGGTCCAGAAGGAAAACTGGGTTGTGACTTCATTTCCTACTGCTTCAGACCTAGGGTTTCCTCAGCCCTGCCTTTACCAGTTTCTGAGTACCATGTTTATTTGTTAAGTTTAAAATGGCACTTTTTTATATGTATTGAGCACTAGCAATGTGAACTTACAGAGACATGTTGATAATGAAACTACTTGAGACTGGTGTACTGGATGGAAAATTGAGCACTTGATTCTGAATATTTGTTTTCAGACTTTGCCAATGGAGCTCCCCAGCCTACTTAATGCAGATTCACTCTGCTTCTAACAAGAGCCATTTAAATATTTGCAGTGCAGTTCTCTTTAGTGAGTTCACTTGAATGAATAATTGAATAAATAGTAAAGGGACCAATTTATGTAAAGGAATAGTAACATTCCATAATATCACTTTAAGTACATATAGAAACCTTTATGACTTTTAAATATTAGAAAATCTCAACAATGTGCAGCTGGTGAGTGAAGCCCTTTTGATAATTGAATATTTTTCTGGGATACTTAGCTCTAGATTTAACAGCTGTCCAGTTGTTGGCAGCAAAATGGCACCAGGTGTTAGGCCAGTGGAGACGGACCAGACCTCAGTTCAGCAACATCAGTACTTGAGTTCTAGCTAAGAAAGAATTCAGAACCAAGACTCAAATACAAGCCAAAGTTGACATAGAAAGTCACAGAGGTAGAATAAGAAGCCATCGAAGAAATTACCTCAGAAAACAAGCAACAGAGACAAAAGAAGGGTCCTTGGAGCTTAGGAGCAAGAAAAAAGCAAGAAAACCTCACCTGGGTCAGGAAGGGCTGGGGAAATGTGCGGGTGTGCTCCCTAGAGACAGCCTTGCTGGGTCCTCTGATTTAAGGGCTTCCAAGGGTGGGGATTTTAGGGGAGGATTCAATAGAATATTCATCAGCTTTCCAGGTATGTCATCTCAGGGTCAGGTCTCCACCTCCACTGATTTGTTGATACTAGACAAGGGGTCATTCATCATTGCAGTTGGTCCCAATATGAGCCGTGGCATCACTTGGTCTGATTTCGCTGCTTTACTGGGCCTGGAGCTCAAACATAACTGAGGTCTAAATATATTTTATAACTCAGAACCTCATTGTCCGGGGGTCTTAATGCTTAAGGGCTATTCTCTGGCCTCCTTATTTGTTCCCCCTCCAGAGGGGTCTAACCTGTATGACTAGCAACATGCAAGAGGGGGAAAGGTGAGGGGAGGATTTGAACCACATGACCAGCAATATGAAAGGTCAGAGGGCCCTGGCTGGTGTGGCTCAGTGGATTGAGTGCCAACCTGCCCACCAAAATTTGCTGGTTCAGCTCCTGGTCAGAGCACAGGCCTGGGTTGCACACCAGGTCCCCAGTTGGGGGCATGCAAGAGGCAACTGATTG